ATCCATTAATCAAGTTGCCTCCAGATTTCAAGCCTCCTGCTACTTGCCCTTTTGTGGTCCCCGGAGCACGATCAGGTGGTTTTCACTTGATTGATATAGCTCCTTCTTTGTCAGGAGGACACCTTTGTTGGAGGGACTCTGTTTGGAATCGTGATGAAATAGAACTCACAGGAGTGACTTATGAATTAAATGCCACAGGGGCAAACCTAGGTTGTTTGCCCAGCGCTTTGATTGGCACCTGGAGCAGTGCCCGAAGAAATATTGTCATCTCAGATTTTCACAAGTTTGTAGCCTCAAAATTTGGAAGCTTGGAGTCTGCCTGGGAAGCATACAATGTATATGGGGATGGGCAAGTTGACTTTAAAGACTTCACAGAAGGCTGCAAGATTGCGAAATTCAGTGGAAACATTTGCAGGTTGTGGTCTATGCTGGATGTTCAGAAGGCTGGCATCATCACATACGAGGAATTCCTTGGGAGCTGTTCCAATGGCTCCCCTTCAAAGACATTGACGAATATTTGAACCTGAGCAGCGGTCTCGAAGAACCAGGAGACCAAGATGATTTACATTTTGTGACCCTTTAAGGCACAGCTGCGGCATTCTGCGCCCGCACCCTTGCCCCAGATTCACCCCTCTGCTGGACGCCCAACACGGGCGGCCCAGCACCCCAGCCACCTGTGATTGAATGAAAAACGGTAGCGAGTTGTGCGGGATTGGGACAAATTGTGTAAGAAGACAGGACTGGGGTGAGGAGGGAAAGCGGGAGTGGTGGTCCAACGATAGCCATCCAGTAGCGTGATTGGCGTCAGTTTTCGTTATTTTCTGCTCTGTGCTTCATGATTGTGCTTCCTTCTTCGTGAACATGAGTCGAAAACCTTCATGCTTCGCGATCTCTTTCACTTGCAGCTCTTGGCCTTTATCGTGATTCGGGCTTGGTGAATTGTACTCTAGCCTTTTGCCTTTATCAGGGTTTCTGCTTCGTGATTATTCGGGATCCCATCGTGAACCTTCTCTGGATCACGTCTCAAGATGTCTCAGAGCGGGAAGGCAAACAGAGAACATATGATGATATTATGAACTAATCTTTTTTCATATTCTTCAATTTTTCAGCAACATGCGACCTGGATGCAGAGGTGGAAAGAATATCTGAACACTGCTTGCCTGAAGTCGCGCCTCTGCAGGTCTACCACTTCAAGAATGTTTGCAAGGTGGCTTCCTGGGAGCGATGGCTGAGGTTGCAAGGACATTGCCTTGCGCGTTTGGTCCTTCCCAATTTTTGTGCTTCCTTGTACATTCTGTGTACTCAACGTGCCAGGACATTGAATGATATTCCGGCGGTGCTCGGATTCGAGACTCTGAATGAACCTCACCCTGGATGGCTGGGTCGCCAGCTCAGAAGAGGTAGTAAGAGAAGCAAGCAGATCTCTTGTCAGTGGACAGCACTACTCCTTGCTACTGTACTAGCTATTAGCGGGTCGACAAGGCTTCTTTTCTTTTCAGTACAGACCAAATTCTTTGATGAGGAACTGATGATTTGAGCCGGAGGAACATCGGACCCATCACTACAGGACGAAATTGTTGATTTCATCCTCTAGAGTTTTCCACATTATGGGTGTGGATGCATCCTGAGGAGAAAGCCCGTTTCAGCAAATGGAACGGAGCAGCCAGGGAGCGTGGGCTTCAGAGTGTTTGTGGGCAAGAGCAGGTATTTGGCGTCGTGAGAATGGGCAAAATGTGCTTTTAGATCCTGCACGATTTCAATGTAATTGGATGAAGCAGTGCTTTGCGCCCTTCGTGGACAGATTCACCAAGACAATCCTGCAAAGAATGCCAGATGCGTTGATTGGAGTGTGTCCTCCTGCCTTCGGCAGAGAAAGCACCGAAGCATTTCCTTGTCCTTTGCACCCACAGTCCTTCTGGGCGCCGCATTTTTACGATGGGATTGTCCTTCTAGGGAAGGTGTGGACTCCAGACTTTGGCATTGAGGAGTCTCCTGGAGAGAAGCTTTTCAACCTGCTCCCTACGCCTGTACGACCTGTCCTTGGTCTAGAAAAGCGAGTGGAGTCTTACAAGATGCAACTACGGCGCAAATGTGACTTTTCCTCTCAAGAGGTTCCAAGCATCCTGGGTGAGATTGGCATACCTTTTGAGCTTCAATATGTGGGGTTTCCCGTTTCGAGCAGGGAAGGCATCGATGCGGTAAATGAAGCAGCAGATGCACATATGCGGGCGTTGGAGGAGATCCTGTTGCCACATTGCTGGTGGAACTATACACCTGAAAACTCCAAGGAGCGAGGGGATTTCTGGAATGGCGAAGACCTCTCAATTTTTGCCAACAACGAAGGTCGTGCGCCACCATCATTGATCCGACCGTACCTGCTGAAATGTTGTGGCGTCCCGGTTTCCCAAAGTTTTAATCGTCGAAAAGGCTTGTACCGCTGCGAATACAAAGCACACCAGCCTGGAGAAACAATTTTTTGGGTTCCTTCCATTCACTTCCCACTTGGCCAAACAAAGGTGTTGGCAACTCCGGGAGTTGAGGTCGCTGCTTCTCAGTCAAGACTGCTTTGCCGTAACGGCCAGTATCGAGGCTGCGTTGTGATTGAGCTTCGTCGAGAGGAATAAAAAGGCGGAAAAGTATTGGCAACGAGAAGGTTTTGAAGCGAACATTCGCAACGAAAGGGGTTGTTTGCCTGAAGTCTTGCGATCAGATTGTTTCTTAAGACTGCCAGGGCCAGGACGTCAGATGAAGACTTAGGATCTAGAGCTAAACAGAGGTGGAACATGTGGAATCAAACAGATTTGGACTATTACTGTATAGACTTCAAGAATTTGTTCCGCGAATCAGCTGACTCGAAGCAGATCAGTAGATAGGTGAGGCGTGGCCAAGCCTTTCTGTGGCCTTTCAAACTAGGCACAGCCACTGGGACCCCTTCACCAGCACCTTCCAGAAAGATTGATATTGAAAGATTGAAATCAGCTAATTACACTAACTTCTTCAACAGGACCTTGAAGCCATGCAGCAGCCTCCGCCGCAGTCCCTGATAGGCAGATTCTTTCCTTAGACTTGAGCTTGAGGGACCTGAACTCTTCAAAGAAGGGCAGTGAAAAGGGGAGTTTGCTGCAGGCTCATCATCGGCCTCCAGGCAAGCTGGTGTCAGCTGGTGTCAGACGTTGTGCAAAGAGATAGATGCTTTGATTTTACTCCACATATGTGCCAGGCCACCAACGCAGGCAAGTTGCATTGGCGAATGCTTGGGTGCAAACTAATGTGCATTTATGAATTTGCCACCCCATGGTGTACTATTAATGCTGTAAGCTATAGAACAGTTTTTATCTCTCTGACTAGGCACGTGTAAGTCTGTCACTCAGTGTCACTCCTTGCTTGGTTGACAGGTCAAGGCGCCGACTGTGACAGTGACGGTCACGGAGGCAGATGTGCTTCTAACTTTAGTTCTTTTGCTGACTTCCGTGCCGTCAAAAGGCTGTGGCAAATTACTAGCTAATTGAACGGTTGGCAACATGTTAACCTGACTCAATTTGGGTGTCAGTGATTGATGTCTATGTATAATTATGTATATACATGTTTCTGAGAGACACAACCTACATGTTTTATAACCGATTGATTCTGGGTCACAATCATTGGTTTCAAGGCTGACAGGGTGGCATGGATGCGTCGCTTTCTGGTGGCCCTAGAGCTTTGGCCTGTTCCTCACATGAACTATAGTAACTATGCTTTGCTATGCTTTGTCTTATGATCCTGTCACATCTGACATCAAGTCTTTTTTGCTCTTTTTCACATCATATCACATCTGCTCATCAGGAAGAAGTGTTTGGATTCAGCATCTTCTACCAGCCAGGCATGGGCTGCAATCGGTCAATCGTGGTGGAGGGCAGTTGGCTTCACCTCTTTTTAATCTTTGGAACTTGGATCCATGTTCGGCAAGAGGTGAAGGAGGAAGGAGGCGAGGAAGGGGGGAGGAAGTAGAGGAGGAAGGACGGAGGAAGGGAGGCGGGAAGGCCCCACTCAGCCCTTGAAGCACTGGTCGACAAACGATTTAGTAGAAGTTGAGGTAAAAGCAGCTAACGCTCGTAAAGCAATGCACCTAGACAGGTGTATATAAAGATGTATAATGTGCATCCGTGTTTTGCCTAATTTGGTGGGATCTATGCTGGCCAAGTGGTCCGTAAACGTATTAACTTGACATTAACATTGTACAACTAACTATACAATCAATCATCTATCTGCAGGACCCTTCAAGGATCTTAAATGGTGATGTTTGCAGCGAAAAAATGGCAAGCCCCGGTTCCCTTACTCGAAGCGTCCTTGTCGCAAGTACGGGCAGGGCTCCACGCAGGCTGAATTGCTATGCCTTCTCAAGGCAGGGCTTGAGGAGCTGGTTGCAGCGTGTCAGGTTGGGCAGAAACGTGCCCATGGAAGCCAAGAAGAGCCTTCAAAAAGACCGAAAGAGGCGAGATATTTACAGGTCTTACCTTCGTATACGTAAACATTGCACTCGATTCCTTTTCGTGGTTCGCCTCAAACACGTATCCAGAAGAGCCGCAGGCAAAGAAGGGAGGCAGAGAAGACTCCGCGAAGGAGATCCGTTCACCTGACAAGACTCCCAATGTTTGCTACCGTGTTCTACCAAACTCGACGGGAATGGACTTCAACTACCTTTCACATGCTGCTTTTGCTGAAGAACACGTTAAAATCCATGTTGCCTACGAAGAAAAACTGCTTTGTTTGCTACCCCTTCCTACTGCCAGTTGCTACATGTGGCTACCACGCTTCCTTCGCATCCCTTTGTGTCTTCCCACCGAATACTTGCTGCTCAAGTTGCAGGATGAACTTGCGATCGTGTCTTAAGACAGAAGTTTGCTTGCTCGCAAAAAGGCGTTTATGAATTTGTAGTTTCATTTCTGTTGTTTTGTTGCTGTAAGAGATTTTCAAGTCAGTTGCTTGAGGAACTAGAAATCGATCAAATTTGCCGACCCCGCAGCATGTTTTGACAAGCCGAGTTGTTGATGACACCTAGCAGAACGACGCTGCCTGCAGTGACGCAGCATGTCGTCTGTGGGGGCAAAGTCTGAACTGCTTAATGTGCTTGGAGATGTGAAAGTTCGAGTACAGGACAAGCTTGGAATTGTGGATTTCCCCATGCCCCAGTTCATCTTGCTGGGAAGACAATCGGTGGGCAAAAGTCGTTTGATTGAGGCTCTTGCCGGAGAGTGCTTCAACTTCATCTCAGGCACCTTGGGAAGTCGAAGGCCAACCATCTTGGAGTTCCGACATGCACCAGGCTACACCATCTCCAAATGGTTTGTGCGTGACCGGAAGACGAACCATTGGATGGAATACCCCATTGATCAGGTGATGAAGATCGTAGGAGATGCGCATGAGGAGTGTGGAGCATCCGTGAGCCATGAGGCCATCTACGTCCGCATTGAGTCCAGTGCATGTGTGGACATGCAAATCGTGGATCTACCGGGCTTTCGGGACTTTGCAATTGATACAGGAAAGCAAGACCTAGCTGACAAGATCGAGACAATGGTCATGACCTTCATGAAAGACAAACGGAATGTAATGCTTTGTGTTGAGCAGGCGGGTGATGCTGCCACAATGTCAACCTTGGCAAAGTGCCGCAGCTTGGACCCAGAGTTCAAAAGAACGATTCTCATCAGAAACAAGTTGGACAAGTACTACAATGACTTGACACCTGACAACGTGAGCAAATGGGTCGATGGTTTTGGAGACTTGCCTGACTCCTTGGTGAGGTTTGCACTTACACTCCCTTGGTGGCATGATGGAAGCCCCATGCCCAAGCCATTCAATCAGATCAAGGACGAGATGGATGCAAATGACAAGAACCAGATGGCTTCCAAAGGTCTCAGTGACATGTACATGGACACAATCGGCTTCAAGAATTTTGTGAAATTCATGGAGAAGAAAATCGAGCAGATGTTTGCTGAAGCCATTGATCCAGTTCTAACAAACTTGAAGGACCTGAAATCCACTGCTTCGAATCAGAAGAAGGATCTTGAAACCGAATACAATGACACAGACCCACACCGTATTCTCAGCACGACCCGTGACTGTGGCATCTCCTTTGCCACTGCCTTGACACATGTCATGGAAGGTGTACTAGACCTACAGCCAGTGATGAACCTGGACGAAGAGCTTCGTGCTTTCCATCATTACCATGCTACTTTGGGTTCCAACCACTTCAGCCTGTTGCCATCGGAAGACTTTTGTTCCCTGCAGGATTACATTGACTACCTTAGGAACGAGATCCAGATTGGTGCATTTGATGTGGAGGTGAACGGTGGTGCTCAGTTTCGCCGTTTGATGATGGAGGTGGAGATTTTTCTTCGCTTTTCGGAAATCGCCGTAGAGATCAAGAAGCGCGATGTCATCCAGGCGCGTGGTGTCTCCATGAGCTCCTTGACATGGCGCGATGTGGTGGTGAAGCTTTTATCCCATGAAGCACACTTACCCTTGCAACGCCGAGTGGCGTATGTGGGGGAACGAATCAAGTGGTTCTTCGAGATACAGAAGGATGCTGTATTGGAGTTCATGGAGAAGCTTGAAGGTTCACCAACAGCAAATTTGTTCTCGCCACTTTACCCGAAGCATGCAAAGCTTATCAAGCAGAATGCCATGATCAAGCATGCTGTTTGGCAGACCTACGATCAAACCTGTGGTCGACAGCTTCGCCAGTTTGTGGAACTTTTTGAAAACATGCTGACATCGACCTTTTCAAATCCATGGGTCTTCTTGAAGGGAGCCACCACGATCCCCGCCATTTCTGGTGATTTGGAGGATGCAATGCTGCCTTCTTTTGATGACACCAAGAATCGAATTCCTCGGGAGATCGAAAGCAGAAGTGGCAACGAAGTTGCCATTTCACATTGGCTTACAAAGATCCCAGCCGAACCCCACGAGATTGACCAAGCAGTGGACAAGGTCCAGATCCTTGTGCTGCACACCTACAGCTTCATAAGATCTCAAGTGTGCGATCAAGTGGAACTCTTTTCAGAGTCATTCTTCAAGTTACCAATGATGAGAAGGCTAGAGGAGGACATGGCAAAGATTGAATTGACTCCTGAAGACAAAGCCAACTACCAAGCAAGAAGAGAGCGGTTGAAACCAGAGATCAAGTTAGCCGAGGAGAGCCTCGTTGAAATCGACTGGTGCATTGATCGTTTGCAGGGTTTCAAGTTGAAGTGCGATGCGAGAGGCTAAGTGACAGGACAGATATAAGTTCTAGAGTTGTGGAGTGTACTTCGGCAGGACTGGTCTTGGTCCCTTCATGCCGCATTCTGCAAAGAGTGGAAGGGCAAGAACAACCTCCACGTTTTCTAGAGAAGCAATATGCAATACAGACACATATACAGATACAGATTGATGTATGGTAAGGTGTCATACTTGAAGTCTAGGAAATCTATATACATGCTATTGGCCGAAAGAAGCACACTTCAAAAGTAGGGAAGACCATCACTTTGGGCACAATCGCAACATGCATTGTGCCAGCCATTTTCCAGCTGAATCCTAGTGCAGGACGGATGTGGAAATCTTGTTCAAAGTTTGGCGCTGTGGTAGGAGTGTGAGGGCTTTGAAGACCTGATTTCAAATCCATAAGGATCCATGAGACTGTAAAACACCCTGTTGAAGACGCCCATCCACAGCGATAATGTAGTGAAAATGCATCCGCCATCGATCGATTGTTCTCACCAGCGACCGCATTGCAAAGAATAGCGACCACAATGGGTTGAGTCGAGACCGCAATTTGGCCAGCAAGTTGACAGCTGCTTGGTGCATCTTGGTTCCAATGCTTGGATATACTTGGCCGCAGACTGTCCCAGATTTATGGAAGCTCAGGCCCAGTTGAACTGAACAGTATATGCAAGGCATTTTCAGATCCCAACGCATTTTCAACACTCAGACGCCCACTTGTTTGGTAATTGTACGTATTTTCAATTTGTCGGGTCATCACCATCAGCAAATACTGAGAAGCTTTGTTCTCCTTCTTCCCCATCTGGACGAGCCTGGTATGCATGCGCCAGAAGCCAAGCTTTGCTTCGCCAAACAAGTCTAGCAAGTTTGCTTATATACTTACTTGCATCAAATCACAACCTCGTTTCGCTCACTCTGTCACTAAGTGGGCAATCTTGGCTCTTTGCTCCTGGACATGCAGGAGGTTGGTCCTTTGTGTGCTGGTTTTCATCACAAAAGACGCTCACAACCTTCAGGCTTTGCTGGAACAGCATGACACTCAAGGGCCTTGTGAATACGACCCAGGGTCTCAGGGTATTTCCATTGGGTTCTTCCAAGTGAAGGAATTGGTCTCAAAGCTCAGGATGAAAGTGCCCCGAATGCTTCACGTCTTCGGCTTGCCGCAGCGTTTGCTGCAGCCGGGGCCTTGTCAAGCTTCGACTTGCCTCCCGATGCACAGGATGCAGTAGCTCCAGAATGGCTTGATAAAATATCACAGAGTTTGATTTTGTGTTAGGTTTACCTAAGAATCTAGGAACCATATCATTAGTGCGAGCGCTTCTTCAAGGAAGTGAAGAAGCGTGAGCTGTCCTGCGTCCTGTCAGTAGTAGCTTACTTGCAGGTAGCAGCTACCTCTCCCTACTAACTATCTCTTACCCCCCCCGTCAGGCTACAAAGAAAGCAAAACATGAAACCTAACCTTTGCGTCGAGTCGTTGGATCCTAGGCGGCAGCCCGAGATGATGAGCTACGGCAATTTGTTGCTGCAGAGGCGAAAATTCGATGCATTCAATCGTGGACCTCGGTTTGCGTGCGAAAGACCAGCGATTGCCATCCGATGCTACTAGTAACAAGTGCCACGCTAGTAGTACCAGGTGCCTTACTGGTAGTAACAGGAAGCTACTAGTTTCCGATGCATGGGGCAAAGAGTTGCATTTTGCAGACATTCAGAACCCATGTGAGGGAGTACAGCACAGGACCCTCCATTCAAGAATGTCATCGTCGCATGTCCGTCTTGCCAGAAGGATGACCCTTAAACCGATGATATATTGTGTGTGCATAGAAATTTATGTTTGTACAAGGCACGAAAACGATCATAAAGCATAGCAAAACGATAGCGCAGCGAGCCCAGCTCATTCCACTTCCACAATGTACTAGCTGTGGAGGCCATCGCTCATAGGGTCAAGGCCATCGCAAGTAGGTTGGAGGCCATCGCTCTTAGGGTGGGGGCCATTGCGATTAGGTTTAGTGGTTTAGGGTTTTTAGCTGTGGCAGTCTGGAATGAGCTGTGGCATGGTGTCATGTTTCCCAGATCCACGCGGCACACATGCATGCATTGCACACGAAGAAGGACCATACGGCTTAAAATAGTGTTACATTCATATACTGTAGAGGGAAAGGCAGAGCGGTTCCTGTGCAACAGCACCCCCACTTCTTTTGTGTATGACCCAGAAGACTGGTGGAACGACTGCTTCCACTCAGGCGCAGCTCCGGGCCCTTGCTCTTCATGCTGACTTCCACACCGATGAGGATGATTTGACTACTAGAATGTTGCATGTGGGTCAGACGTCCAACTTGCCAGTCACGAGAGGATGCAATATTCAACATGCTGACCACCGCCAGTAAGCTGACAGTTGTTCCTGCGAAGTTGACTAGCGACCTGCATCAGATTCATCTCAGATTCAATAAAACTGAACGAATTCTCTATGCTTGAACTGCGCCAGCTTGGAGTGGAAGCAGCACCACCAGCAGATTCCAAGGCAAGAATCTGAAAGGACGGAATGAAGGGAAAGAAGGAAGAGACATCACACAAATGCATGCGCACATGTGTTTATACACTGACTTTGAATTCATTGCACATGCACTTTCAGGCACTGATGGATGCTGAGAGATTGCTGAAGGCAATACTGGGCATGTGTACTGCCTGGCTAGCAACTCAGTACATACATATACCAAGAACCGAAGGCAGCACAGACGCTTTTTTTGATGCCACGGAACGAGACAGATGTTTCATGATGTTCCATTGGATTTGATTCGTTTAGTAGCGTCCTTGTTCCTAGTAGTAAGGCCAGGAGCCCCTAGTAGCGTCCATTGGATTTGGTTCGTTATCTTTCTTTGTGTCAAAGCGACCTGCACTGAGGATGAGGCTAGCCCAAAGTGGGCGGCTTGTCACTGGCTCTGACGGACTTCGCGGAGCAACTGCTGCTGGGCTTGTGCTCCTTGTCTGAGAGAATACTGGAGCGCCAGAGCCATCGCTGCAAAGACTCATGGAGCAATGGAGCAGACTCTCTAAGTGCTTTCAGGTAGGGTCTTAAGTGTTTCCTGGGCTTGGGACATTCTTTGAGACGTTAAGATTATAGATATAGTTAAATACGGGTCAGTACGGTTCGTATTTGATGATCGAGGCTCACAACCTTAGTGTTTCGACTCTTTGGCTTCCAGATTCAAGCAACTCTCAGGTTTGCAATTGTGGAGTCTTTGGTATCTTCTGCGCTTGGAACTTAGGCTTAGTCAGCTTAGCGAACCAAATCAATCTTCAAGCAAGGTTCCTTGAGGACGCCTGAGCGTTCTTGCGTCCTGCTTGCTCTCCTACTGCATTTTTACCGGCCAGCCTTCACAGCAACCCCCCCCGGTGTATAGTATATAATTCTACGGTATATTATGCTAAAAGTAGACTAGTATCCTACTCCAATATTCAAAAAACATATATATATATATATGTATTTATCACGAAAGCCAGAGGATAGGCTAGAGGATAGGCTAGGCTGGAGTTGGGTTGGGCGAACGAAGTGAGTTTTGCCAATTTCAAAAGGGTGAACCCAGAGCCTGGTGGGGGAGAGCGAAGAAAAGTATTTGCAGTTTGGGACTGGCTTTTGGGGTGTTGGGATGCAGGTGATGTAATTGAGGGCCATTAGTGCATCATTAGCATCATGAGGGGCCCAGGAGGCAATTTAAACCGTCTTCTTGGGAGTTCATGTCGGTGATAGGAGAGAGGAGACAACGCGACGCGAAAAGTGGCTGGAACTCCTCTAGGAGAGGGAGATGTGCGTCTCTGCTGGCCATTGAAATAGTGTTCGGGGAGGTGTGTGTGTGTCTCTTAAGACACTGTGTTCTGTGGGAGAGGGAGCAGAATGCTGTGGGGAAGGTAGAAGACAGGCATAGCGGAGGAGGACGTGGTAGGAAAAGAGGGCTTGCAAGAAAGCTTGGAGTTGCTTGGGGGAGCTTTTTTTTCTGGTGAAGATGCTGTCAACCATACGCAAAGGGGCACCCCATAGGGAGTTCATGTGGAAGACGTGCGTAGCGGAGGAGGACGTGGTTGGCAAAGACGCCCTTCTTTATCATGAAGACGCCCCCTAACCATACGCAAACGGGCACCCCATATGGGGTGGGAGTTCATGTAATGATGCGGTCCGTTGAGGGCAGGGGAGCAGAATGCAGCGAGCAAGCTTTGAGTTGCTAGGGCGTGCCTTCTTGTTATGGTGAAGAGGCTTGTTGACCAGACGCAAAAGGGAGGACGTGATAGGAAAAGAGGTGGGGAGCTCACCAGGCATCTCGCACTCACCCCCCATGACCATATTGATAATTTTTTACGGTGGCTGACTTGCGTCCCCTCCCTACAGTTGGAAGTTCTTGGAAAACACCATGTGGAAAGGTCTGGCCTCGCAGCATCAATGACGCTAGCCTTTCAAGAACTTGGAGGCAGGCACGACTTGTCAGGGCACGGATGGAGAACCGAAGGAAAAGGAAGAGCTTGTTCAGCAGTCTTTTCGGAGGCATTGACGTCAGAAAATATCGGACTGCAGTTTATTCACGTGGAAAAGACATCCAGTGTTTAAGGTGTTTTGGTTTCCTGAATCATGGAAGGATTGAACCCCCCCTCACATACAGTAAAAAATGTTTCTGTTGGTGGAAACAAGCAGCCATCGAGTCAAAGGAAAGACCCAGAGACCACAGGATGCAATGCAAGGGACTAGACGGGGACCAGGTTGGGATTAAACTTTTTGACCCTTAGCCGCATAACTGTCGTGATCCGCGGCTTTGTCCCTATGACTGAAGGGCTTCAGAAATTCAATATTTTCTGTGTCGTGTTCGCAAGAGACTTGGGACCATCCAAAGATTCACTTGCATCAAGTAGGCCATCAGTTTCTTTTGTATTTCCCGTTCCTATCTATTCTACCGATGTCAATCCTTGTGGTGATGTGCTCATGTGCAGATGCTCTCTTCATTTGCCTCTCTTCGTTCCAAAATACATCCAACTCATTGATCTTGCAGATTTGGTCTTGGGCTGCGGGGCTTCGGGGGACACCTACTGCTATAGGTGGAAATCTCACTTCAAAAGGGGTTGTATGAGTTATATAGATAGAGCCTATATGCTTTACGTGGGTACCGAATATGCCTGTGCGAGTCAGTGCTTTTCCTAGGAACTTATGATGCCGCCTTTTAACTTCTGTGGGATGCCAATACTTCTAGGTCTCAGCCTCATGGGCAAGGCTTTGTGCAACGTGGAGGAGGCATTTGCCGTTCTTGAAAGCAAACCCAACGTGCAATTTGGATTTGCACAAAGGGCGCTTTCCTCTATGCACTACGCTCTGTACGTGCGTGTTTCTTAGTTGCCCGGTCTCGAGAGCACAGATCCAATTTACAGAAATTGTTTCCAATTTTTTTCCTTACAAAGGTTGTGGCAAATAGAGTGGCTTCCGCTGTTCGTTTCAGACTTGGAATGACAAGCTGCATTCAAGGGAAGTCACGCAGGCGTTGACCGCACATGTACCAGCATTGATCAGGACAAAATGGACCTGGCACGAATCCTGCAGCTCAGAGCATTGAGGCCAAATGTACATTTTCCACGCAACTGACACCAGAGCCTCTTGCAGCCATTACTTTGTGATGTTTTGGCCTGTGTTAGAAGGAGTTCCATGGAAGCCTATTTGAGCGAGTTCAGCTTTTTGCATCAAGTAGTGGCCTTAACATGTGGCGCCAACCAGTTGCATTTGTCGTTTCATGTCATGAAGCAAACTTGATTTTATGCTTGCCATCCAGCAATGCCATCAGAAGCTTTGGAAGCCCTTAAGGTCCAGATCACCACCTTCAATGCCGGCACTTCAAGGATTATGAGATTGTTAGCTTGAATCGAAGTGTAGACGAGTCAAAGCAGTGCAGGAAATAGTGAATGAAACTTCAAGTGTCCTGGCTGAAGTCTACGTGAGCAGCCAGGCACTTGCAGCCTTTCAAACCTTTGGATTGCTTTGGATTGTTTAGCAGATGTTCTGCCACTGCGGACAGCAAAGCTGTGGCGCAGGTGTTTGAGATGACCCGCCTTTGGGCACTACAGTTGACTTCAGCCCTGTTTGTGTATCGTATTGCCCTCAATGCGGGAGACACTTGGATGCCCAGCTATAGACAAGGATTAATTCTGTGAAATGCTGACCCTCGAGGTGAAGACTATGATGATTCAGTCGAAGCTATGGAATGGTTCGGAACGGTCTTTACGGAACTGCCAGGCACCTAGCACCTCACAGCTCAAACCACAGAGCTTGCAGAAGTCTCGTTGAACAACCCGGGCTTTTAATGCGTTGTTGCTACTGGTACGGAGCTTCCTACCTATACAGCTATTATATAATATATATTATAATTACACATCATTACACATCTATAAACTATTTGCAGTTGGCATGTGCGGAATCTGGGCCAACCGAAAGTTGCTCGACCGCAAATCCACCCATGAGGAACACCCATCAGCAGACGTACAACACCAACGGAGATGTGCAGTTGTAGAAATACTTTTTCCACGAGTGGCGAAGTGATACGTATTGACACGGCGACTCACGAATCCAGGTCCGTACCCCCACACCCCTGAGCTTTGCCGAGTCCGGGGGTTGGTAAAGAATATATCGAAGTTATTCCGCAAAAACAACTGGACAAAGCAAGAATCACGTGAAACTCCCGAGTGATCAAAAAGGCCGCTACATAACTTCAAAGGAAAACACATGACGTTTGCAACAAATTTATGCAGTCATTGTATATTGTGAGGCAAGGTGTAATCGTATCAAGGGCTGTCTTTAGATTGATTCATGGTACATTTGCGGGTTAATTTCTTTGCGCTCTGCACAATTGAGGTCACGATAGATCGCAACTTGTGCTGGTGTCGCAATGGGCAATACCGTCAAGAGAAATCGGAGCATTTGCACGATATGTTGCCTTTTGACTAGTGGTGAAGTGGCATGTTCCTACAACCCGGGAAGTCCAAAGGTTGCTTGACAGCGGGCCAGTGCACCAAGCTATTAGCAGCTAAACCTCACCACATCAAGAATCACCACGCTAATTGCATCTATAAATTTACTGTACATAAATTTACTAAATTGATCTAATTTGCAGTAAGCGACACGCCACCACACAAAAAGACCCTCTCTATGCAACATGACAAACTGCGTCAAACTACCGCATCAGGCATCATCACGGCACTCTTGATCACCTGACAAGTCATCACCCCTGTTCATCTCACACGTCACGTACCTCAAGCTAATATGTTTGAAGCTTCCATCCGCTTGGCTGGTTCAGGCAGACATTTTGCTTGAATTTTTATACCTCCTCCCTTCTTCAGCCTTCTTCACGGCCTTCCCCCCCAAAAAGCATTGAATTGATGTGTGTCGCAAAGTGGTTCTCATAGGATGTCAGAGGACCCAGTTCAATCCATTTTAGCTTGTTAGGAACCTCCATAGTCCCGCCTATAGGGGTATAGTCGACCTAGGGTGGGGTCTAGGGCCTAGGGGGGCCCTAGACTATCCTATCCGCACGTTGACCGAACGATAGGCGTAGGGATAGGCTACCTCCGGGGACTTCTATGCCAGAACCCCAATGATCCATGGTTTTGCCGGGCAGGTGGCATGCACATCGCATCCGTACAATGCAAATGACTCAAGGTCGCAAGGTCAGTTTGGCGACCATCCTGCCCGTAGAAGTGTGTATCGCAGTCGCAGCTCAACTCATGAAAACCATCCAGCATGCCGAAGCCAGGCACTTTGGTATGTTATCGATTCATGGTGGTTTCGGTTCATTGTTTCTTTTTTTTGTCAGCCCAGGCTCAACGCACAGACGGTTGGTTCGCACCCCAAGAACTTCAAACGGAAACTATATATATACATATAGCTAACAAAACAAGTTTGCCAGGTGCTTTCAGCTCACCTACTGCAGTGCGAGAATGGTTGGAGGCAACTCGGGCAGTTGCACTCCTAGCTTTGACTCACAAGCTAAGCTTCTCACTTTCAGGATACTGGCTTTTGGAATCGGCTGGTAATGCAAACCTCACCTCGCGTGCAGCTGCACGTCCAAGTGCTTAGACTTTCTACTTAGACCTTGACGTGCTTCAACCGCAAGAGTGACAGCAGGAAAGTAGGTGCACTGTGCATTTCAGACGTAGCAGAGTAGAGGATCTTGCTGAAACACAAAGATGATCAAAGATGCCCTATTCTATGTGAGCACAGTGGCTTTGCTAAGGCACATCCCGTGGTCAGGGTCAGCTCGCCAGTTTGGAATGGGGCTGTTTCGGATTTTTCTTTGTTGGCATTTTCATAATCTTCGTCATCGTCCACCTATAAACATTTTTGGACACGTATTGTCATTGTCTCAATGGCATGTATATGTAGTATAGCTGTATAACACTCAGCCGACGGGATACTTTTTTTTAGCGAAGCTCCTTTGCGCAGAGAACATGCAGATGGTTCTTGTATTTAAGGACACCTAGTTAATTTTCCTGCACATGTTTTTCAAACTTTGCGGGCCTGGCTGGTGTAAACTTTTCCGGCACCTTTGGCCGTACGAAGATAGCAATAATGCCCTTGTTACTAGTAGCTTCTTGTTCCTAGGTGGTCATGCCAGGAGCTACTAGTAGCTTTTTGCTACTAGTAGCGATGCCCTTTGTTACTAGTAGCGATGCCCATGTTTTCTAGTTGTTTGTTCGGAGGCAGTCCTGACTCGTGGAATTCTTTCTCCTCGAGACCTCGTAGCTACAATGGCGAAGGCTGGAACTCCTCATTTCAGGTTGAGTTTTTTTCCCGTAGAACATCTTCAGGATTCTCGGGTGATGACTTTTTGTAGCGCCCAGGCTGGGGCGTTTTCAGCTGGAACGGTACCTACGTGCTGCCGTCGGGCTCACAGATGCCCACATGCCCGTCATAGCACTAAGACATGTGAACCATCACGAATCTCTAGCCTACTATCGATAGACTATCACGACATATGTCGGACTACTTAGGTGTTGGCCTTGAGTCGCTGGTGCTGGCTTCTGCTGGTAGTTTGGAGTTGGAGGCGCCAGTCTTTGCCCATTGGATTCCTCTTCCATGCTGAAAAACTGCAGCCTATGGAGGTGTTGCTGGAGTTCTTTAGCGAATTTTGCGCAGTGTGGAGCTTTCCAGATCTGTGCCATGAAGGCCATATTGACATAATACTGCTTGCTAAGTTTCGTACTGTTAAATTACAATGTTTTGCATCATCTCCAACTGCAACTTGTACTTTCATGAGGCATTGACTTCTTGGCTCGCCTCTCGCTGATGGTATATGAAGCTGGGTATCGCATGACACTTGGGGCTCGAGCCTCAAAAGGTCACATGATACAGTTGAATTTATATGGATTTGTTGTTTTTACGAGAGGGTAGTCACGTCCATTCCCTTTTTGTGCCTAGTGGCATTGGGTAGAAAAGAAAATAGGAAAGGTCTAAACCTCCCAAAAATGAAGGAAAGAAACAAGGTAGACCACAGGGTGGCCCGAAAGCACAACAGGAGAAGGATGAGGATTGTAGCGAAGATGATGTTGACGACGACGACGACGACGACGACGACGACGACGACGAGGATGGTGATGATGATGATGATTATTGTTATTATTATTATTATTACGATTATGAGCATGATAAGAATCAGCATGACAAGCATGACACGGGTCCGCCAATCATACTGTACTCTAACCACAGCAGCACGACGTCCTTTTCGATCTCAGTCTTTGAAGCAAGCGTTACAGTGCGCTGCAGACAACTGCTGTTCGCACAGTGAAAAGAGCAGGGTACCAGGCACCAGAACAGGAACCCATATGGGTTCACGAAGATTTCAGTCATGATAATCGACGCCGTGAACCCGTGGATCTCCAACTCCAGGATCGTGAGAGGAATCAACTTTGTCACAGACGAGGCAGCCATGCGACGCCGCACCACCAATCATCCCACTCACCAGAGAGACACCGCATTTCGCCATCACATATCCCTTCCCCCAATGGCACAGCCTCGTGCAAAGCGCTGCATTTGTGCTACAAAGTTGCCACTTCTGAAATCAGAGCTCCCGGAAGCTGCTTGCCGTGCTACATTTAGACCACGAAGTTACCAGTTCTGACGTCAGAGCTCGCAGAAGCTGCTTCCCGGACCACATTGTACTACAAAGTTGCCAGTGCTCCGGCCACAGCTGCCCAGCTGCTTCCGGTACTTGTACATATTGTACAACAAGGTTGCCAGTTTTGAGCCCGCACCTTCCAGAAGGTTTTCAGCCTGTAAATGCTACATTACATGTACCACGAAGTTTCCAATTCTGAGGCCACGGTCGGCGACAGTTACATCCACCTTCATTTTCGACGACACTTTGGCAACGCTCACCTTGATTTTCGACGACAGTTATGCACTTTGAGCACATCCAACTGGACGCGCCAATTCCGACAACAATGGCACTCTTTGGCCGATTTTTTGGAAGATGCTTACACACTTTGGCAACTCGACGCGCGCGATCTCCGCAAAGGGTTCGCCGCGGCCAAGCAACGTTCACATTTCACCTCACGTTAGAGCCCTCGACGCGCGCGATCTCCGCAAAGGGTTTCACTGCAGAGTGTCGCGTTTTGCGAGCTTCGTCCGGGCCACCCCGCCGTCTTGAGAGGAGAATGAAAAAGATGTTGAACATGTTGCGTAGGTGGGTTTTGTACCATCTCTAGTGATTCACCATGACTCACCAACACCTGTATCCCAAACACTTCTATCTATGTAGGTGTTATGGCAGATGCATCACCTGCATTTGTGCACCTGGACGATGGTGATGATGATGATGGTGATGATGATGACGATGACGACGACGATGATGATGCTGGTGATGATGTAGGTGTGTTTCAGCAACCGCATCAATCACCTGCATCTCTGCACCTTGATGGTGATGATGCTGATGATGATGATGATGATGTGATGCTGCTGCTGTTGCTGCTGCTGATGATGATGATGATGATGTGACGATGATGATGATGATGATGATGTGATGACCATGATGTTGATAATGAAGATGAACATGAAGGTGTGTTGCATCAGTTGTATGACCTGCATCTCGACATTTTGATGATGGAGGATGAAGATGAGGGTGACGGTTGTGATGATGATATTGATGACAGCTGCGATGATGATGATGATGATGAACATGAAAATGAACATGCTGATGATGATGGTGATGATGATAGTGATGATGATGATGTTGATGATGTTGATCATGATGATGGTGACGCTGATTCGATGATGAATATGACCATGATGATGTTGATGAACACTGTGATGATGATGATGATGATGATGATGATGATGATAAGGACCGTGAGCGGTTCAATCCCCACTGCCCGCGGCGCCGGGGGATGGTGCGGACCCGTCTCACCACACATGGGCAACGCGGAGCTGACCACATGGAGACTGAGCTCCTCGGTTACCGGGACATTGCCCAGCATTTTGCGGGACACCAAGAACAAGATCCCTTCCTCCCTGAGCTCTAAGATTACCTTTTCAGGTACTATCTTCTGCTCTTTTTTGCGGTGACTGCCTTCTACCTCTGGCCCACTACCAGAGTACTTTGCATTCTTTGGCTGTGCCCTGGAGGCCCGAGGGTTCTGGGTCTGCCACGGGACCCAGTGGAGCCATCTTTACACAGGCTCTTCATGCCCCCACATCGGCGAAGCCAAGTGGACCTCAACCAATACATCTGGATGGCGTACAGCCTCATCCCAAGAAAACATCCTTAGACAGTGCTCTCCAACCAGTACAACTTCATAGACCTCAATGCCATGGGGGCAACTATGACTCTTTGGGAATCCCCTTCAACGACGAGGATGCATTTGGGATACTACAACTTTCAGCGGGTCACCATGAACTGCTTCTTTAGGGACTGTCAAACCCACTTCAAGCAAAAGAGTTGCTGGCTCATCAAGGGCTTGGGCCCACCACTGGTTGACCCGCGCATCCGATTTGGCTGCTGGCCACGCGTCTTGGACTTCTATCTTCAGGGAGTCCACTGTTCCTGGCGGGGCGGTGCTTGGCTTCCATACTACCTGGGCTTCAAGTCCTCCACTTGGGCTTGGAGGACTCTTGTGGTCCCTACTGCACAGCCATCCAGGACGGAGGCGCATGGTGGGCTCACGATGACGCCAATGAGCTGGTCAAGCTCTCAGCACTCTCACTGGTGGCTCAGGAGAACTGGTGTTTGTTGTGGTTGAATTGCACTCCTCTCGGAGGCGCCGGGGAGGTCTATTCGATTGAGGAGAACTCCCAACTTCTGACCGTTCTGGTCATTGAGAGGAACTTCACCCATGACCCAACCATCAAAGACATCAGGCATGGGCAATGGTTGCCTGAGCTGGATCTCCTGAACACCTACGTCCTTGTTGACAACCCCAACGTCTGCCAACGGCTTGAGAAGAAGTGCATCAAGTGCGGCAGCTGGCCCGAGCTCCCACCTCTTCCTTTGAGGGGGCTCACTGCTGGTCTTGGTGGGGAGAATCTGACCGTCTTCACCTGGGCTCGGACGGAAGCATCGGACACTACTGCACTGCCATCCTGGACGGTGGAACTTGGCGGATCGATGATGAGGACAATGAGGCTTGGTGGGTGGCCTGGAACCCTGGCGGTGACTGAGTAGTGACCCAACACACCCAATTGATGGTGTGCTGAACAATCCCTAGCATTGGCCTCAATGAGGATCATGCCGTTCCTGCTTGAGACAGTTTTCTTTTGGCATTTGGTGTTGCGGTCCATCGTTTTTCTGGCGAGCTAAATGCTCGCCCGCTGGACCAAGTCTCGCTGAGTTGCAGAGGCTTCAGGCCCTTCGGGGCGCCAGGTGGGACCTACAGGTCCACGCAATCATCGACTGATGAGCGTATGAAAGAAAATGATGATGATGATGATGACCGTTCTTTACGGAGAACCCTTCGCAGGTGCTTTCGGGAAAAAACAGACACAACTAATACAGCAATACAAAGAACAACAACGCACACATTTGTTTGTAGTCGCAAGCGAGTAGCGACTTCCATTTCCTCAAACCCCCTTTTTATAACTTCAAGTTGCAACCTCACGAAGCTGTATCGTGCTGTCATGCAATTGCGTTCAGGATTCGCAAGCAGGCCGAATGCTTGCTATCAGCTATTTCCTTCAATACCTGCAGTGGGGATACCGGCAGGACATCCAACTGAGGGGGTGTGGCCATTCATTGTTCCGTGACCTTTGTTCAAAGGTCTCAGCTGATTCAATCTTGAGACCTTACAAATCTGTTTGACACGGTTGGGCGCCTTTCCCAGTGTGCCCAAAATAGAGGATTTGTGCATTCTTGAATTTTTTCGCTAGGAGACTACGGGCCGAAGAGAGGTTTTAGACTTTGCTCAGCAAACTCTTACCCATGCTTGGACCTGAAGTTTGTTCTCAAGTGGAGTGTTGGGTAACAGCTGCCCCGGTCAATGACTGAGGTGTTGCTTCCTCACCCTGCCCTTGCGCCGTTCTTGCCAGCAATCATAGTTCACGCTTTGTCACTCGCAGTTGAGCCTTGTGAAGGCGAGGGGATGAACTTTCCGTGCTAGGGCCGCTAGGGTTAACTCTCACAGGTGATCTGAATGATTTGTGTCCAGGTTCGGTTTCTCCGACAGCAGCCAGTTGCTGCAGCAAGGCAGGGTCTGGCATGGCATAGCTCAGCCCACTCCCGGGCGCCGCATGCATCAGGCATGGTCTAGTATTTCAGTCCTTTCTCAGGCGCTTTGTGCTGTAGCGAGAGCTGCGGCTGGCATCGCCACTGTGGATTATCGTCGAGCCTCTCCAGTTGGTGTCTCACTATGCATGCTTGATGTTTCCTATGAAAATGTTGCTTCGCACCATTTTCATTCTGATACATTAAGGACGAAGCAGTTGCGGTGCTTTGCAGTGCATTCCCTCGCGTTGGCGCTGCTGCGCCTTTCGATCATGAAAGCAAGGAGGAAGCCAAGCATTTTCATGTATATTTTGGTGGGTGTTTCGAATTGCCCTTGTGACGTATTGCTTGAGATTAAACTGTCAGTACTGGCTATGCGCCCTGGTGGACACCTTATGCATGTTCCTTCGGCTGCCCAATGCAGAAATAGGACCAAGAGAGGCCGACGTTGCCAATTTGGCAGCTATGTATGCAACAAAGATCCATCGCACAGAGATGCGCGTGAACGTATAGAAAGTTTTCATATGGTTTCAAACTGTCAAGTTTTTTCACCTGTTCAGATTGCAACTCTGTGGAGCCGCTTGGTGGTATTGGGCCTAGACTATTCTGTGATTCTTTCACTTTTAAGTATCCATGCACATGTACTTCTGTATTCTGTCATGTATAATTCTACTTTTGAAATGTAGTTTCACATACAGGATTGTAGGGGGGCTTCTCAGGTCAGGCCTGTTTTTGGCCTCTCAGTGTCCTTTGCAGCTGGCCAGTACTTCAAGTTGGCGCTTGAGTCTTAGATCGCTGGTGCAACGAGTAAGAACAGCTGAGGCAGTCCAGTTCAATAGAAATGCCGTTGCTTTTCAAGCTGATGAAACTAGCTTTGCGTGCTCCTTTGTAGTGTATGTGTATTTTTATGCCACGTGATGCTGTTCACATGCTCATTATGTTTTGGCTCAGCCAAGCACTTGGCAGTGAAGTGCCAAATCAGATTTGGTGCCGCAATGAAGCTTTCGATGCCACTCCTCACAGTGGCAGCACTTGGGCTGCTTGCAGAAGCTGCACAGCCCCAAATGGGCAGCATGTCCTTGGCATCCGTAGCTGACGCTTTGGCCAATATGGCTGACCAAGTGCCAGCAAACAGCTCCACAGTGCAAAGCATCAAGGACTACGTCGCACAAATGATGGCAGATATTACAAGCCAGCACAACACTGCACAGGCAGAACTAACTGACATTTCAGGATACACAAGCTGTGACACCATCATGAGCACCTCCTTTTCAACCCTTGCCACTACTACCCCAGCAGCAGCCACGACAACCCTTGGAGCCCTTGCGGTCGCAACGACAACAACAACAACTCTACACGCGTCTGCTTTAGCACTTCAGCAATGCCTGTCGGAAGTTGAGGCCATAAATGCGTCCCTGACAACCTGTGCATCTGAACACACTGCGGCACAAGCTGCCTCAGATGCAGTTTGCATGAATTTCCACTACAAAACTGTGGTGGATGCCAAGGCAGAAAGATGCAATGAGACTTTTTCAGGAAGCTACGAACAGTACCTTGAGCGTGATGTGCAGATTCTGGCTGACTACGTGTCCAAGAAGCAGAACTGCAGCAACTCCACAGCCGTCACCGATTCCAAGGGATATGAGTGTGAGAGCGTGCAGGCAAAGCTTTTTGAGAAGCAGCTGCAGTGCAGCAACATCGTCATTGTCACTACCACAGCCGGTGCAAGCACCACTGCGGGCACTGTGGAAGCTGCAGCTGCTGAGGAGGCGGCCTGCACTTTGTATCACAAACAAGTTGAAATTTGCAGCGACTACGACTCATGCTATGAAAGCGTGACGCTGGCAAAGGATGCAGACAAGGTATCTGCAAGCACGTTGGAAGAAAGCCGTCAGGCTGAATGGCTGTCGCTGCAGAGGATGAGCTGCCTGGTGGGGGTTTTGGGCTCCGATGTCGCCACTGGAATCCAGGATTGCATGAACAAACCGGTGACCGACTACAGTACTACCCACTTGAAGCTGGTGCTTCCCAATGCACCCACCAAACACGCTTGCGGCCCGTTCCAGAAGCCAGCGACGTGCTCCGAAGTTGAACCGGAAGTGCCAGAGGTCTTGAACACAGTGACCTCCCGCACTGCCAAACGCTCCTTCAGGTGAGCAGGACAAGAGTCCCAAGAGACCCGCGAGATTGCAGAAGGGCATACCAAAAGATGTAGCCAGAAGGCTGTTGTGCTTAGTTTTCAATTGAATCCATTTGACTTCACTACTGATTGAGCTCCTTGTGTGTTTGTCAAAATTTGTCGAGCCTGTGAAGCGTGGTTCACTTGCATGGCACAGGTTCCTTGCTCAGCCATCCCCTTCTGGAACAATTTTGGCTCCTTTTCTGGCGGCTCCAAACCCACCGCACGAGGCGCAGAGAGGGCACACGTCTTGAGGGTTGAGAAAAGGCTGCGGTCAGGCTGAACATGGCTGAACTTCCAGTATGAGAATGACAATTCCATACAGCCTAAAGCAATCCTGGGTGCAGAATGGATTCCTTTGTGCGTTGAAGCCAGATCACCTTGGCGTTCTTGTCTCTCTACCGGCCTGCATGCCTTCAGGACCGGTCGCTTCTGCACTTTCGATTCCAGTGTTTGTAGTGGACAATCAAGGGATAGCGAATTGTCGCTGAAGGAAGAACATCCACCAACACCTCCGATCCGCCTGTTCCCGCAGGTATTCCCGACTTGTCCTTGTTCGATTCCATCCAATCTAGGAAGCACTATGATCGCACATGCACTTTGCAGCAGAGTTTTATAGAGCATCGTTGTTAGGTTGCTAGTGATCCCCAGGCCTGAGATTCGACACAAGATTTAATCTTTCTGATTCTTTGTGCCACTTCTGTTGTATTTTGTTATGCCTTGCCGTACTGAAAGCTTTGAGGAACCAGATCTTGGGCTGACACATTCTCCGCAGGAGCCACAAAAAGAACTTGGAGGGGTTCTTGTAGTGCTTTCACCCCGCAAAAATCACCTCAATCCACAAGGCCCCGCCTGCCGCAACCCTTGCGACATTCATTGAGCGAGACTCTTAATTAATTTGCGGCATTCGTTTCTTTTTTTGCCGTCAAACGATCAATGTCAGCCACTTATTCGTCAAATTCCGTGGATCTTCGGTGCACTCAAAGGCTCTGATGACAACGAGAACTTTTTAGACCTCGGGACTGGCACCTCCTTGGTAAAGGAATTCGTCTCAGTGTGGAGTGCTAGTGGCTAGCAGCTTTGCTTAGCAGCACGGTTAAACTTAAGTTCCTTTTCGATTCAAAATTGCTGACGTCGAGGCTGCAGCTAGTGCAGGCATCACAATGTCTGACCCCTCTACATCCGTTCCACGAATGCGCTTGGATCGAGTCCAGGTGCGCTGTGCGCTTTCAAACGAGTGTTGTTTGATTGAACGGGTGCGAGCCCCGGGTGGGCAGATTGTGGCAACCGGGGCTTACGGCGCGGCGCGTTCGGCACGGCCTCGCCACAAGAAGCGGCTCCAAGTCGCAGGCAGCAATGCAAAGTTCTCAAGGCCAGCAGGTTTTGCTTTGCATCATAATCTTCGCTCGATGCTGACCATTGCCAATCCATTCCGTTGAGTGTGTTCCGGTGTTAGCAAAAAAGAGAAATACTTAAGATTTCATAAGACTAAGACTTCCAAATGCTTTGCAGAAGCTAGAGGCAGGACAAGAATTCTCCTTGTTTTTTGCTCCGTGTGGATAATCGACATAACTTCAAACTGTAGCAGGCTCTGGGCTGCTCGGCGAGCTTACTGTTTATGATGCCACAGAGCGCCTGTGTCTAAGCTCAGTTTTTTGTCCTATTGGCCTATTGGTGTAGCGTAGCGTTTTGTGTGGTCGCAATTATGGAAGCTTAACTTCCTCAACACAAGGATAGGATGCAGAAGGGCTCAGGCTTTTTCACGGGATGGCAGAATAAGATGATTCAATGGATACAATATGATACAATCATTATCCCCATCGTCCCCACCCCAATGTGTTTTATCATCTCCAAATAATTGTCCCTCAAATTATGAAGCACCAAGCCATGTTCTTGCTACAAAGGCCGCCTGTGGGATGAATTCGATGAGCTCGGTAGAATCGATGATGCCGGGTGCTGATGACCGTGCGTGGAGAGACCGTGAAGCAAGGCCATCGCTATTATGTTGGAGGCCATGGCAATTAGGTTAGAGGCCATCGCTATTAGGTTGGATGCCATCGCTATGAGGTTGGAGGCCATCGCTATGAGGTTGGAGGCCATCGCTATTAGGTTGGAGGCCATCGCTCCTAGGTTGGAGGCCATCGCTATCAGGTTGGAGGCCATTGCTAGTAGTTTTCAGGCCATCGCTATTAGGTTTGAGGCCATCGCTCCTAGGTTGGAGGCCATCGCTATTAGGTTGGAGGCCATCACTATTAGGTTGGAGGCCATTGCTCTTAGAATGGAGGCCATCGCTGGTAGGTTCCGAGGTTGGAGGCCATCGCTCTTAGGTTGGGGGGCCATCGCTCTTAGGTTGGAGGCCATCGCTAGCAGGTTGGAGGCCATTGCTAGTAGGTTGGACCTTGGAGGCCATGGCAGTTAGGTTGGAGGCCACTGCTGTTAGGTTGGGTGCCATTGCTAGCAGGTTGGAGGCCATTGCTAGTAGAAACAACGGACAAGAACAAATATATGCTGATGACTGTGCTCGGAGGGACCGTGAAACAAGTTTTTGAATCTGAGACTGAAGCTCTTCGACAGAGAGATGAAGCTGCGCACCGATGTCTGGCGGCGTCTGGCTCCAATTGAAACACAATGCCAAAGATATATGGGATAAGTTTGGTGTTTTCTTGGGAACCTTCTCTTTGTATCATTTCATTTTTCATGTCTGGTTTGTTATCCAAGACTTCAAGTTCATCCATCAAAAGGGGGATGCTCTACAGAGAGACATGTTCCAAAGGATGTGGCTTAGTGATTAGTGGTGAGCCTGCCATAGAATCAGAACGCAATAGTTCATTGAAGTAAGGACACTTCCAAACACCACATGAAACAGTTTTTTGTGGATCAAACACTTTACGTTTTTCTTGCTGCTTGCTTGAGAACTGTCCTACTTTTTGCTGAGGTTGGACCGTGAGATAGACGCAGTTGGCATGAAACTGAATGATGACTTCCTCATGAACGTTTTTTTTTTTTTTTTTTTTTCCGTTTTCTTCTGCACTCATTGTTGCTGAGATATCTCAATTCTGCTGTTCGGCGTTTGCCACCTTCTGCTGAGGTCGGGCAGGAAGGGAACTTCCATCCGCCTTGACAGAGGACTCTTGTTGATCCATGCCTTTTTTGTTTTTTTTACTTTTATTTGTGGCTTCAATTTTCAGGTAGTGATTGAAACCTTGGTCCAGTCCAGCGAAGCTTTTGGTATGTTTGGTAACCTCACCCACCCCTCATTGAGCAGGCAAGGGCAAAGTTCTCCTTGCTGTGCCAGCTTGCGGAGGAAGGCATCCTAGCCTTTACACTTTTCCACGCGATCAATTATGCTTCCCTAACAGCACCGCATTTGTGACATTTGCGGGACGAGGTGCAGCTACAAAGGCTGCCCAACGAATCAGCCGTGTAGAGAAGTCCTTTGCCAAAGCGGAGGACAGAAAGACATGGAACCATGAAGTGCCATTGCAAAGGAAGACAGTAGGAAGACATGAAAGTGCACCCTCCGGTCTACAATGATTGCACAAGATGCCTGTTGCATTTGTGGAACCTGGAGGATGATCTAATAGCTGCGACCTCTTCTCATCGCCGATCTTTGGCCTGCACGCTGCTAAGAGACTGACAAGTTCAGTAGAGTTTTAAGAGTCAAAGCATTTTAGAGCTTGTTGCTTTTCAATAAGCGCTTACTGTTCTGGATGGAGTAAACATGAGTGGACTGCGTGAACGCTGCAGGGCTCAAATATCTCAAAAGCTTCACGGGAGATCAATATTTAGATTGATGCCTCGCAACCTCTATCACTCTTTTGGCTTTCAATTTGGACTTTACGATTGCATGTTCTGTACTGTGAACGTGTCTTCTACAACTACAACCCAAGGCTGCCGCAGACAAGGTCAAGCCCCTCCAGCTTCGGAGGTGACTGAAATACATTGAAAGACATCAGCAAGCATCATGAGTGCAAACATCGATGTTACATCATTCATGTTGCAAACTTGAACCAGGCTTTGCTCAGTTCGCTGTCTTGACTTGATAGATAGAATGTAGGCTGTCTCGGCAGCGCGTGGGCAGCTGAGAGGGAGATGTTTCCACATGTTTCCTCAGCCAGCTGGGGAACACATTCTTCTTGCTAGGTGCACTGAGCTAAGGCGTAAGTAGAAAGAAGCTTTGTTCTTTGGACAAGCAGCAAAGGGTAGCAGAGTTAAGGCTTCATGTGTTTCTTCGGTTCAGGTGCAACTTTGACCCGTGTGCATTTGGAACTTGTGAAGGAGGTTGGAGAAGGGATGATGTTTTTTGTTCACCGTAATTCTGAATGACGAGGCTCTTAGTCTTATGTCATGCACACAAACAAAACATGGAGGTGTTTTTTTTGAAGCAGAAATGCACCGCTGCTGTTGCTGAGCCAAACGCCCTGCTGTAGTTCTTCCAGTGGATTTATTCCTTTGTCTTTCCGACACTCATTCACCTGGATTCACCCTGACTCACCCTGCGGTTCTGACACATGTGTATCTTTGCATTTGAATCGCATGTTTTTTGGCCCTCTGCAGATACGGCTGGCAGCGCAATTTGCCCAGCTGGGTTTGGTCGAGATTACTGGCCCGGCCACAGATGTCTTGTCTCATGCAATATCTTAGGTAAAATGTTGTACGAGTCGCGAGTATGCACGTAAAGCTCCAAGGGGAAGATGCAAACGAATCAGAAGGAGTGCCAAAACAACTGTTCTGGAGCTGGAAGGCCTCCCTGGCTTTGCGCGAGCCATCCGGGCTGCTGGTCCAGTGTGCTATTGCTGCAAGAAGTGAGATTTTGTCGTCGACAGTTGAAGGCGAATCCATGCTAATCCTTTCGGACCTAGGCATGCGGATCCACTGCCGCGCTCCCATGATTTTGCCTTTTGAAAGTCAGACAGCCAGACCTTTTGCAGGCTAGAAAGGCTCCTGCGCCACAGCCGCTGGTGTGATCAACAGGCCTTGGGGCCTGGGGATCCATTTAACATGCAAGTGAAATGGAAAGAGCGAGCCTCATTCGTGAAATTCTTCTTGAGAAAGGCCAACTGGGATCCTGTGGAGGATCCTGTACCAGAAAATCAGGCCAAGACGCTTGGCGTCTCAAACTCACAGAAAAACCGCTCAGTGGAGCTTCTTTGTGCAGTTTGCACAGGCTCCCGCAATTATGGCCGGGGGGAAGTTGACGAACCTGGCTAATGCCGAGGCTCTGACAGGAGAATCTTGCTTTAAAAGTCCTCAGTCCCACTAGTAGCATCAGGCAATGCTGGAGAACTTGGAACTTACAACTGTCGACCAAAGTGGAGTTCTCAGAGTTAGAGTTCTGAAACATTACGCGGTCGCTGAATGGCAACGAGGAAGTGGTATTTCTTCCATTGGAAGCTCTGGAAGACACAAGTTGGTACAAAAAGCTGCCCAGGCCGAGAGGGGATTTTGTCGTTTTGTCTCGGGATGTCTTGAGCAATTATATATATAACTTCTAGTCGAATCTTCAAAATGCATGGAGAGTGTTTTGTAGCAGCCAACTGCAAGTGGCATGCAGAAAGGACCAAGCCGTTGAGCCTGCATTGAAACAAGGCAATATGGAGCACTCAACCACGGCTGCTTCGGACATTAGTAGGCTTTTCTCCTACGATTCAGCCCAGCTTTGCACATCATATGAGGAGCTCATGCCACTTCTTGAACTGAACAATCAACTAAGCCCGTTAACCAATAGATTCTGGAAACTTGCGACAAAATGCATGTCAAAGATGCAGTGTGAGCGGTTTATTTATATTTATTCTTTATATTTTTGCGCCACGTGCATGATTTATTTTGCTGTATGCAGCAGGCAGTGGTTCTCAAGCATTTTGTGGCTGAAGAGAAGGCCAGCGGCTGATGCATGCTGGCGCTAGTTTCCTACCATCTCGTACCGTTCAAACCCTTCAGCACAAAAACCACGACTCTCTGCCATGTATCAATGTTGGCTCAGAAAAAGAAGAGTTACTAACCTCCACCGTCACAAATTTGCAAAGAACCCACCCAAGATTGGAGGCGTCGGGGTTTGGCGTTGTTCATTAATGAAGGATTAGACAAAAATTGAACAACCTATCCATCTACCTAAGGGCAGACAGTAGTTCTTGGAGACCTTGCCAGGATAGCTGCTTACAAGAGGTCAGGGCTTTGCAGAAGCTGAAGGATCACCCAAATGTCATCATCTCAGGAAGTGTGCTTTCTGAACAGTGAACGAGCGATACAGCATTGAGACATATTGTTATTGAGACGGACTGAGACGATGCATATGAATTGCACGAATGATGACATTTGATAAGACGATAAGATTAGCACGGAAGCCCTCCATGAAGCCCTACAAGGTCATCAAGTTGCTGAAGGCTATGAAGTCTGGAGGCTCACGGTGGCTGATGTCGCTCCGAACTCGACAGACGCCGCTCCTTGTTTTTGCCAGATGGCAGCATTTATTTGGAGCTGCCTTTATGCGCTGGTGGCAGCATGCTTCAGTGGCATGGGGCCCAGTTCAAACCTAATGGCGATGGCCTCCAACCCAATAGCGATGGCCTCCAACCCAAAAGCGATGGCCTCCAACCTAAAGGCGATGCGCTCCAACCTAGAAGCGATGGGCTCCTATAAAACTGTACCTAATAGCGATGGCCTCCAACCTAATAGCGATGGCCTGCAACCTAGAAGCGATGGGCTCCAACCTAGAAGCGATGGGCTCCAACCTAATAGTGATGGCCTCCAACCCAAAAGCGATGGCCTCCAACCTACTAGCGATGGTCTCCAACCAAACAGCGATGGCCTCCAACCTAGAGGCGATGGCCTCCAACCCAATAGCGATGGCATCCAACCCAAAAGCGATGGCCTCCAACCTAACGGCGATGGGCTCCAACCTAGAAGCGATGGGCTCCACCTAGTAGCAATGGCCTCCAACCTAGAAGCGATGACCTCCAACCTAGAAGCGATGGGCTCCAACCTAATAGCGAGGGCCTCCAACCTAGTAGCAATGGCCTTCAACCTAATAGCGATGGCCTCCAACCTACTAGCAATGGCCTCCAACCTACTAGCATTGGCCTCCAACCTACTAGCGATGGCCTCCAACCTACTAGCAATGGCCTCCAACCTACTAGCGATGGCCTCCAACCTACTAGCAATGGCCTCCAACCTACTAGCGATGGCCTCCAACC